AATGGCATACTGATGGCATCTTGCCCCATAACTCCTAGTGACCACTCCCAGCCAGTTCATATAGATATTACCGTAAATAGCATTGAAGATAAAATAGTGCCATGTGGCACACCATAAAATAGCCACAAGGGGCTAGAAAGCACCGTCCCAATGCTACTCTCTGGACTCAGTCCTGAAGGTAGGATTGGCGTTATACAGTCCCTGCCATTTCCATTCACCATAGCTAGTCCAAGAGGAGACCACAACCAGTGCTGTTAAAAGCTAATGAGAAATCAAGAACCAGGAGCAAGGTTGCACTCCTGTCCTGCAATGTCCACACATTGTGCTCCACCATTTTCCACTGTTCTCCAGCAAATGTTGTGTGAAATCCATAAAATATGTAACTGAATGCTTGTCTTAAGCACGTAACTTTCACAGCAGAGTGCATGTTTTCTGTCCGAATTGCCATCACTAAGTGATGGTCAGAATGTGTCAGGATGCTTCCAGCGGCTCCCGCCTGGTAGCCCAGGAAAGTAAAAAGACAAGGGAAAGTTTCTTATCGTCCTTTTTCATTCCAATCTTTACAGAGAGAGGCTATAGAACCTAGACTCTTGGATAATGGTGTTGTCCCGAGTGAATCTCCACACACACCCCGTCTATCCCTCTCCCTCATTCGTCATTCTCATCGTCTCCTCTATCGGCGCTGCTACATGCCCTCTGCCTTTGAGCTCTTTGCTCTCCTACTTTTAAGGCTCACCGGGTTCTGGGAGATGGAGGGTCTGGAATGCTTTCTAATGACAACATGTCAGCCAGGTGTTGTTCTGGCTCTCCCATGATTTCCCAATATTTCCCCTCATCTGCCTCTGAGCTGTGACCTCCCGCAAACCCCTGTTGTAAATCTATACTGCCTTCCTCTTCCTCCTCCCTGTGAGGGTCAGGATAGGGAGGTGTTCTCCACCATTCTTCCTCTGCCCAGTCCCGGACAGAATGATCCTGCGCCATTGATTTGGTGTGTTTATATATTTCATTTAGCACTGTAAAGAACTCCATCTCAAATAACGATTTCATGCACACAGAGGTGCATGTGTGAGAGAGAGCGTGTGGAATGCATGTGCTCTGCGATTAAGCAATGGTCCCTTTTCTAAACCTATTGATTATTATTTATAGAATTTATAGCCCTCCCTACATCATGAATTGCCTCGTGGTGAGTAGTGACAAGGTAGAATATAATCAAGCAAAATAATACCTAGCAAAACAAGCCGCAATGACTATGTTTTAGTGTTGGAGGTAGTATGTCTTTGAATAATAGTTGCTGGAAATCACAAATGGGGAAAGAGTTGCTGTTTTGCTGGCTTGATCATAGCAGTCAACTTTTCCCTTTTCTTGCGAAGAATCCTATTTGGAATAAGGGAATTTCCCTTAAAAAAAGGAAAACATTGACAACTATGGGCTTGATCCACCAGGGTTCTTTTTATGCTATGCAAGCAAAGCTTAACTGTTTATTTTTTCATCTGCAAATGGGAAAGTGTGTAACAGAAGTTGTTTGTGTGAACTGGTCAGGGCTGGGCCCCTCAAATATTCTATGGGGGGAGCGTGGGGACATCAGCTCCTAGGAGTTGGCTCCTATGGGATGGTTATGAGCTGTGCTGCTGGTCACACTCCATCCTTGTCAAGGTTTCCAACAAGTCTCTTGCAACTCTGATTCTCAAAAGGGTATCTCAAGGCCAATCTAAAAAAAAAAAAAATGCAGTATAAGCATGGAAAATTGGGAAACACTGGCCTGTGAGTGCTCCAAATGGAGAATAGCCTTTGAATAAGGTGTCATGGACTTTGAAGAAGCACGCACTCAGAGCAAAAGGGAGAAACAAGCTAAGAGGAAGGCATGTTTGGTAAATCCTCACTGTGATCAACTCCTGCCCAGAAGCCTATGTCCCCAGTGTGGAAGGACGTGTGGCTCCAGAATCGGTCTCCATGGTCACTTAGGGACACACCGCTAAGACCGTGCTCATGGAAAACAATCTTACTCATCTACAAGTGATCGCCAAAGAAGAAGAAAGAGGGCCTGGCAATCATAGCTGAGGATGCAGGCAGCCACTCCATACCCGAGATTACCTTTCTAATGACAAATCTATTTGGAGAGAGATGCTGGCAGGGTTATGTTATCACGCAAATGCAAACATACTTGTTTGCCCAGGCAAAGCCAAAGACACGTCAAGGCGAAGGCTGAGTGACAGCTGGTGTAGGCCACATGGTCCTCCAAGCCAAGCATGTCTCATAACAGGTGCTCCTGTAAAAGAAAATGTTGTCTGGAGCAAAGTTCACTTGTGGTTATATAGGTCCTCAGCTGCAAACACAAATGGCTGAGGACATTTTGTGGCTTAATGCCTGCAAAGAGAACTCACAATGCCAGCTTGAAACACAAACCTTGCTTATCATTCCCTTTTCTACAGATCCCTGCCCCAATCCTTCTTTAGAATCAGGGCAGATACAATAAGGTACTTCCTCATGCAGCATATAGTTCAGCTATGGAACTCACTCCCACTTACTTGGACATCTTTAAAAGAGGATTGAGCATCCCCTTCTTTTCCAGGGCGCTCCAGTGACATAAATCAACTTGATTTATGCACACTAGCCTTCTCTCTTGACACAGCAAAAGAAAGAGGCATCGTAGTTCTAAACTACTATTTACTGTATTTTTCGCTCTGTGGGACGCACTTTTCCCCCTCCAAAAATGAAGGGGAAATGTGTGTGTGTCCTATGGAGCGAATGCAGGCTCTCACTCTCCAGGCTTCAGGAAGCTATCCGCAAGCCTGCGGAGCCCGGCGGGAGTTCCCGCCAGGCTCTGGAGGCTTGTGGATAGCAGCCTGCAGCCCGAAGCCCGGGGAGCGCGGCGCTGTGTACCCCGGGCTTCGGGCAGCTATCTGCAAGCCTGCGGAGCCCGGCGGGAGTTCCCGCCAGGCTCAGAAGGCTTGCGGATAGCAGCAAGCTCCGGGAGTGATGGCGAGGTTGAGCGCAACCTTGCCGCCGCTCCCGGACCCGTTCTGGGGGCAGGGGAAGCTCGGGCTTCCCCCGCCCCAGCCCCGAGACTAAAAACGAAGCCAAGACAGCTAGCGGGATCCATCCCGCTCACTGTCATGGCTTCTTTGCTATTTGGGGCTGGGGGGGAAATTTTTTTTTTCTTTATTTCCCGCCCCCCCCCCAAAAAAAACTAGGTGCGCCCTATGGTCCGGTGCACCCTGTAGAGTGAAAAATACGGTATTTACAGAATATGTACAGACAACAGCATTATGGCGTCTGTTCTCTCCAGCTCCGAGAACAAACAGAACAGCGTAAAAGTGAAAGTACAGTTTCACAGACTCTCACACTGGAAGAGAGATAAGACAGTCTTCCTTTCTCAGGCTCCATTCAGACAGGCATGTGAAATATACCAATCATAAAATCAGCATCAGGGAGCTTGAAAACCTAACACTTGGGTCCTGCTTAAGGGTTTCCGATAGAGGCATCTGGTCAGCCACTGTGAGAACAGGATGCTGGACTACAAAGGCCCTTGGCCTGATCCAGCAAGCTCTTCTTATGTTCTCCTGCCTGAGTCATTCTTGTTTTCCTCCTCTCCATCATCCCTAAGCTAGCCTTCCACAACTTGGTGCCCTCCACATTTTGTTGGACTTCATCTTCCATCAACCCCAATCAGCATGGCCAACCATCCAGGACGATGGGAGTTGTAGTCCAGCAACATCTGGAGGGCATCAAGTTGCAGGTGGCTGCCCTAAGCATTCTGGGAAGCGTGGTTCAGAAGGCAAGGCCACTGAGTCTATAAAGCAGGAGTGGAGAACCTATGGCCATTCAGATGCTGATGAAATGTAGGTCCCATCATCCCTGTCCACTTCCAATGCTGGCTGGAGCTGATGGGCATTGGAGACCAACAATATCTGGAGGGTTGCAGGCTTTCCAACTCTGGTGTAAATGCTCAAACATCTACAGTGGTACCTCGGGTTACAGACGCTTCAGGTTACAGACTCAGCTAACCCAGAAATAGTACCTCAGGTTAAGAAGAGTTTCAGGTTAAGAACGGTCCTCCAGAACGAATTAAGTTCTTAACCCAAGGTACCACTGTACCCTGAACAAGGGGCTTCATAATTCCATTTATCAAGATACAACCATGCTAATTTTCCAAGGTTACTATTCCCGGTATTTCCAATGTCATTATCCATTTATGATGTAAATTCTCCATGTCAACAGAGATGTTGAGAGAGAAAATATCCTTTTTTTCTTGCTCGTATGTTTCTTCAAGGTGCATCTAGAGTTGATTAGATTTGAAGAATTGCTATTTGAATTTGCAGAACTCTCAAGTATCGCAAGCTGTTGCTGCAAGAGTCCTTCTACTCCAAAACACACTGAGGCCCAGGAAAGTCTTTGTACCGGCGAGCACCAGAGTCTCTCCACCCCCCCTCCACTTTTATTTGCTTTGTTTGATTCTCCATCTCAGCCATAAATACCCATCACGTGAACTGGTGCCTTCAGCAGTGTAAGTTTCCATGGTCCCTGACAGTTACGACAGAGACATTGAAGGCTCCTTGTATGATGTTCCTGGTGCACATGCATGTTATGGTTATGTTATGGTGATTTACCACACAGAGGCTATGGAGGGAGGACTTCCACATGTCAACTGTAGCCTGTGCGCTGGCATGTTTTGACCCATCTACACCAGGTACCATAGGAGCAAGGCAGGCTGATAGTTACAGCACCATGGATAGCTCCAAGGTTGCCACTTAGCTCCAACAAAAGCTGGAGGAAACAGGAGCAAGACCTCAGGATATTACACCATTACTCAAACTAGGTCTGCACCAGCTGCTCATTTGTAACCAAGCCAAATTTGAGGTGTTGTGATTGGTGTAGAAGGCTCTATTCAGCTTGGGACCAGATTACTTCAAGAACTGCCTTACCCATATATGCCTACCCAACCATTCTGATCTACAGAACTGTGACTTCTACAAGGGCAACATAATGTTCATCCCACACTTGCAAGAAATAGCTCAGTTGGTAGAGCATGAGACTCTTAATCTCAGGGTCATAGGGTTGACCCCCATGTTGGGCAAAAGATTCCTGCATTGCAGGGGGTTGGACTAGATGACCCTCGTAGTCCCTACCGACTCTACAATTCTGTGATTCTATGCTCCTTCTGCATGGAAGCACCTTCATTCTGGATCTCTCTGCCCATTGATATTAGGCAGGGGTCCTCAAACTTTTAAAACGGGGGGCCAGTTCACTGTCCCTCACACATTGTTGGGGGCTGGACTATAGTTTGAAAAAAATATGAACAAATTCCTATGCACACTGCACATATTTTATTTGTAGTGCACAAAAAAGGGGGAATACAATATTTAAAAGGAAGAATGATTTTAATCAACATAAACTTATAAGTATTTCAGTGGGAAATAGTTCCCACACAAATGCCCGGGAAGGACAGCAAAGGGAGAAACCTGTGTGCTGATGGGTTTCGTCCACTGCCTCCAAGGAGCCTCCCTCGCAACACTCACAAGGCAGGGAGACACGCAGTCCAAGAGGAACGTGGGGAAGCATTAATTGCATGCGACTCAAGGTTGGCCGTGCCTGGGAGTGGGGATTAAGGGAGCTGCAGCTGGATCCAGGGTGGCACGCCTCTTGCTTCCCACCCCTGTGAGATTTCAGAGGGGCAAGAGGGGGGAAAGGCATGCCAAGAAGAGCCTGTCTGGGGGGCAGGGAAGGAGCAAGAACCCCCATCGGAGCCCCTCTCTCCTGGGAAGGACTCAGCCTTTGCTGCCTGGTGGCGCCCCACTTACCAGGCCCTCCAGCAGAGCCCAGCTGTGGCCAAAGTCAGAACTAGAAGGCTTGCAGGCTGTTGGAAACATGCCAGGGAAGGCCGCCAACTTCCCAAGTCATCAGGGCATCCCTCTGGTGCTCTTAGTAAAGGTAAAGGGACCCCTGACCATTAGGTACAGTCATGACCAACTCTGGGGTTGCGGCACTCATCTCACTTTATTGGCCAAGGGAGCCAGCGTACATCTTCCGGGTCATGTGGCCAGCACAGCCAGAGCAGCGCACAGAAACGCTGTTTACCTTCCCGCCGGAGTGGTACCTATTTATCTACTTGCACTTTGACGTGCTTTCGAACTGCTAGGTTGGCAGGAGCAGGGACCGAGCAACGGGAGTTCACCCCGTCAGAGGGATTCGAACCGTCGACCTTCTGATTGTCAAGTTCTAGGCTCTGTGGTTTAACCCACAGCGCCACTAGGCTTTAAATCTCCCTCAGTCCAGAGAGACCGGTGATAAGCGACCCCTCTCTCCTGAGAGGAGCACACTCATCTTCTGGCATATCATTGCAGAAGAAAGACTCAATCGGTAGCTCTAAAACTACTTTATTTACAGTCTATAATACAAAGACTCCATCAGCACATCTGTGCTCTTTGAGCACCAGTACAGAACAGCAACACTTTCAGAAGTGAAACTAACTTCCAACAGTACTCCAACAGTACTCAGACTTCCTGTCTCATGCTCTCTCAGACACTTACATGATGTACACAAAAACATAGTACAACAGTACCACTCGCTGGAGCAGCTCAGATTGATAAAAAATCCTAACACAGCCCCCCCCCTCTCCTGGCGGTGGCCGCAGCATCTCAGGGTCTTGTCAGCCGGGAGGAAGAGGGCGGCCGAGCCAGGCGGAAGACACCTCGCTATCGTCGTGTGCATTTCATTCCCGCCGTTGCTGTTGCATCTTTATTTTTATTTTATTATTTGGTTTTGTTTGGTTTGCGCGCCTCAAAGGGACCTCCATTTTAGGTTGGGCGCTTGCAATGTGGGGCTTCCCCACTGAGCTGATGATTTGGTTTTACGGCTATAAAAAAATTAAGACAGCAGCAGGCGGGGCGGGTTCAGGACTCTGGCGGACAGGATCCGGCCCGCGGACCGTAGTTTGAGGGCCCCTGATATTAGGTAATGGCTTTCACTGCATTCCATTCAGCCAGTGCTAAAAATGTCTTCGCATGGGCAAGCCAACCCAGGCATCTAATTCTGACAGGTAATTAGAACATGTAATTTTATTATATGATGTAGATATTTTTAAATCACTATTTTTAATTAATAGGGGGGCAGGAGTCAACTTGTTTCCATATTCCATTGGTATCTTATTATGCATACTTTACATTGTTTAAGTAAACCACTTAGAGGGTTTTGATGATTAGGGGGTATATGAACCATGTTAAGTAGAGATAACCATTTTTAAAGTTTTACTGATTTCATCTGTGTTTTAATGATAATCATTTTATGTATATTTGTGTGTTTTTTTAAAAAAATAAAATGTTTCCATAGATCTTAGCTATGCTGTCTCTAGAGTTTTCATATGTGCTCCACTTAGAGAGCTCTTTGATTAATAATTTATCCATTGGCTTCCATGTTCAGAGCCTCTGAATATCACTTGCTGGAGGCAGTAAACAATTGCCCCCAGACCCTGCTTGGAGGCTTCCCAGAGGCATCAAGATGATGGGCAAGATGGACCTTTGGTCTGGTCCCAGTCTCCAGGCATCTCCACTGCAGGAAATACAATTGTCTTCTTCTTTCCCCAAGGTTCTAGGTCCTTCAACTCATAACAAAAGCCCCATCCTATACACGTGGACCATCTATGCCTTTCTCTAAGGGAGCATTCCAAAGCCAAGGTCCACTGCTGGGATGAGTGAGTAAAGATCCAGTGGATCTCCAGCTCAGCCAGCTGATTTCTGGTGCAGCCAAGCTATGCCAGAGTAAGCACCACATTTATTTATGTATTTCATAAAATTTATACGCCGCTTGGTTGTAAAAATAAAATAAAAACAAACTCAAAGATATACTATGTCCACAGCATTCCCCTAATCCACCAAGCTTCTAACTCCATCAAAAAGAACATGAGGTTCATCTGACATGACTTATTTTTTGAGAAACCCATGCTGAGTCTTAGTAATTATAGCATCCTTTTCTAAGTTTTCTATAGGGTCGCGGGTGGCGCTGTGGGTTAAACCACAGAGCCTAGGACTTGCCGATCAGAAGGTCGGCGGTTTGAATCCCCACGATGGGGTGAGCTCCCGTTGCTCGGTCCCAGCTCCTGCCCACCTAGCAGTTCGAAAGCATATCAAGGTGCAAGTAGATAAATAGGTACCACTCCAGTGGGAAGGTAAACGGCATTTCCGTGCGCTGCTCTGGTTCACCAGAAGTGGCTTAGTCATGCTGGCCACATGACCTGGAAGCTGTACGCCGGCTCCCTCGGCCAGTAATGCGAGATGAGCGCCGCAACCCCAGAGTTGGTCACAACTGGACCTAATGGTCAGGGGCCCCTTTACCTTTACCTTTCTAAGTGTTCACAAACCAACTCTTGAATCTGTCCTAGGACGTTTCCTGTTATCAGTGTCATGCTCACTGGTTGGTAGTTACCTGGGTCTTCTTTTCCCCCTTTTTGAAGATGGAGACAACATTTCCCCACCTCCAGTCTGCGGGGACTTCAACTGTTGTTCAAGAATTCTCAAAGATCATAGACAAAGGCTCTTAGGCTACATCCACAAACTCCTTTAGTACCCTTGGATGCAGCTCATCAGGTCCTGGAGATTTGAATTCATTTGAAGTAGCTAGATGTTCCCTTAATACCTCTTTTCCTATCTGGGGCTACAGCTCCCTCCTTACATAATTTATTCTGTTATCACCAGGTTGGACATTGCCTTCTTTTTGGGTGAAGACAGAGGCAAAATAAGTGTTGAGTAGTTCTGCCTTCTCTCTGTCACCCAATAGCATTTCTCCGTCTTCTCCAGGCAGAAGACCTACCATATGCTTGTTCTTCCTCTCACTTCAGACACTGCATGGAATAATGTTTTCTTCTTCTTCATTGTGACTCTTTTTAGAATGTCATTCATTGTAACTGTTTTAGAAAGCTGAAAGAAAGAAAGAAAGAAAGAAAGAAAGAAAGAAAGAAAGAAAGAAAGAGCTTGTGGATGTGTTCCACCCCTGACCATTAGGTCCAGTCATGGATGACTCTGGGGTTGTGGCACTCATCTCGCTCTACTGGCCGAGGAAGCCGGAGTACAGCTTCTGGGTCATGTGGCCAGCATGACTAAGCCTCTTCTGGCGAACCAGAGCAGCGCACGGAAATGCCGTTTTTTCTTCCCGCCGGAGCGGTACCTAATTATCTACTTGCACTTTGACCTGCTTTCGAACTGCTAGGTTGGCAGGAGCAGGGACCGAGCAACGGGAGCAAACCGCCGACCTTCTGATCAGCAAGCCCTAGATAAATAAATTTAAAAGTTTGATGCATAAGTAGTGACATACACTGACTGCAACAAACCTACTCATTAAGGTTGAGGAGATGGATTGTATCCTCCACTTTTGTTGCTATACAGTGGTACCTCAGGTGAAGAACTTAATTCGTTCTGGAGGTCCATTCTGAACCTGAAACTGTTCTTAACCTGAGGTACCACTTTAGCTAATGGGGCCTCCTGCTGCCGCTACACCGCTGCCGCTGCACGATTTCTGTTCTCATCCTGAAGCAATGTTCTTAACTCGAGGTACTATTTCTGGGTTAGCGAAGTCTGTAACCTGAAGCGTCTGTAACCTGAAGCATTTGTAATCCGAGGTACCACTGTATATAAAAAAAGAGTATCCATTATGGTTAGCAATGGGGAAATATCGTATCAGGAGAAGGGAAGCTCAAACATTTGCAAGCCCATCTTTTGGATTTTCCCTCTCTGTGTGCTCTCCTCCATTTCAGCTCCAAAGAACGACAGAGCATTTGCATCAAGAAGAAATCCCAGGAACAAAAGATCTCTCCAGTAAATCATTGGCCTCCAGTGGTGCAAAAGAACCCTTCTCTTTTAAACGAGATTCGAACTGAGTTCAGCGTAGCCTTCTGAGGCTCTTGTCTCCTAGTAGGGGAGGGGGAGGGAGCGGGGAGCAAACTGTAGTGGTGACAGTCTCTGAATTGCTGTTCTGAAGTGCTTTTAGAGGCCAGTCTCTCCTAGCTCATTATTAGCCGTAATTGTTTCACAAAAAAAGGAGAAGTGTCCACTCTTATGAAGAACAGGGGCCCAGATGCTGCTAATA